AGCGGTGCACAGATTGCACGGGTGGGGGGCGGGGTGGGGGAATGAATGCCGGTGCATGCACTTTGTGCAGCGTTTCTGCAGGGGAGCTGCAGCGGGCTGGTACCTTTGGCGGTAGTGTTTGGAGCATTCATTTGGTGCATGCATTTTCGCGTGTATTTCTTGTGCCCTCGTCTCGCATTCCTCCCCACGCACACACACATACACATGTCCCCTTTTGCATCCGCAGGGACGCATGGAATACCTCGTGAAATGGAAGGGCTGGTCGCAGAAGTAAGTAGATTCTGTGCAGTCGCAACCCGCACTGATACCGAGGAGGGTTCTTTTCTTCCTCTTTTCCCCTCTCCACTGAAATACAACACAAGACAGCCGGAAAAGTTACACACACATACACGCCCTCTGCTCCAGGGACTGATGCCAGATTCTCCCTCGTTTCCTATAGGTACAGCACGTGGGAGCCCGAAGAAAATATCCTGGATGCTCGCTTGCTTGCAGCCTTTGAGGAAAGGTACAGACCCTTATCCACTCCCGGGAGCCCACACTGGCTGACTTCGGTGCCACCAGGACACACCCCCCTTTTTCTCTTTTCTTTCCTAAGGGAACGGGAGATGGAGCTCTATGGCCCCAAAAAGCGAGGACCCAAGCCCAAAACCTTTCTTCTCAAGGTATGTTGCAGTCTGCACTGGTAGAGTTTGACATTCAGAGGGGACCTGGAGGGCTTGTGAACCAATGGGTGTCCACACCCTGTGGTTATTTGTAAATCTGTGAGTCTTCTGACAGCTTGTCATCAAGTCAGTGGCAGCAGCAGCAGCAGCAGCAGCAGCAGCAAGGAGGCGGGCCTTAGCTACACCAGAAGGCCTTCATTTCTGCCTCTAGCCATCCCAAGGAGACCTATAGTGGGCTGCAAGGGTTGCAAATGGCTGCTCCCAATGGCTGCTCCCAGACAAATCCCCTTTCTCTTTCCCCAGACTGCAACCATTAAGCCCACTTTCCTACCCAATTAGAATTTCCCAGGCATCTGGGGGAAGTTGGGCAGTCAAGGCTGGAGGACTTGTGGGGGGCGGGGCCCTGCTTTCTTCTCCTCACCATCTTCTTTCTGCAGGCCCAGGCCAAGGCAAAGGCCAAAACGTATGAATTCAGAAGTGATTCTGCCAGAGGCATCCGGATCCCTTACCCAGGCCGATCACCCCAGGATTTGGCATCTACTTCCAGGGCCCGAGAGGGCCTTCGGAACACAGGTCTATCCCCACCGGGGAGCAGCACCAGTGCCTGCAGGACAGATCCACCTCGGGATCGAGAAAGAGGTGCCAGTCGAATAGATGACAAGCCCAGCTCACCGGGGGACAGCTCCAAGAAGCGGGGACCCAAGCCCCGGAAGGAGCTCCTGGACCCTTCACAGAGGCCCTTGGGAGAGCCCAGTGATGGCCTTGGAGAATACCTCAAAGGCAGGAAGCTGGATGACACCTCTTCTGGGACAGGAAAATTCCCAGCAGGCCACAGCGTGATCCAGCTTGCTCGAAGGCAGGACTCAGACCTGGTACAATATGGTGTGACCAGTCCTAGCTCGGCAGAGGCCTCGGGCAAGTTGTCTGTGGACACCTTTCCAGCCAGGGTGATCAAACACAGGGCTGCTTTCCTGGAGGCCAAAGGCCAAGGTGCCCTGGATCCTGGTGGCCCCAGGGTTCGACATAGTTCAGGTACCCCAGGCTCAGTGGGGAGCCTGTATCGGGACATGGGGACTCAAGGGGGAAGGCCCTCCCTCATCGCCAGGATCCCAGTGGCCAGAATCTTGGGTGACCCAGAGGAAGAGTCTTGGAGCCCCTCCTTGACTAACCTGGAGAAGGTGGTTGTCACAGATGTGACCTCAAACTTTTTGACCGTCACCATTAAGGAGAGTAACACGGACCAAGGCTTCTTTAAGGAGAAAAGATGAATTCCTGGGGGTGGGGAGCCCAGGACCAGAACAGGGGAGAGTGAGCTCAAACGTGGCTTAGTGCTTTTTATTTCTGGGTGGCTGTTGCCTTCTGGCTGGTCCTGTCCTTAACTTTACACCCTCTTTCCCAAGTCCCTTTCATTCCTCCTTTCTCAGTTCTGGTTGGAAATTATCTAGAGTTCTATTTTCTATTAGATGTAAATATGTTATTTAAGAAAAATATCTAAATATATATATTTCAACTCTTGAAGTTCTTTTATTTAAACAAGGAGAGAGAGAGATTGTGGTTTGATAGAGGCAGACAGACTGAGTCGTACAGGAGGGGACCTGTCCAGAAGGGTGCTAGGAGAGGTGGGGGCCTGGGCACCGGGATTCTGGAGGGATTGTGAAGGGACCCAGCCGGCCCACCTCCTCCTTCCACCGCCGGATTCCCAGTGCCAGACTCCTGGCACCCAGGCAGGATTTTTGCTTTCCTTCCCATTGGCCAGCTAGGCCAACAAAAGGTTGGCTTCCCAATCAGAAAAAGGGGGTGGGGTCAGCCCAGTTTTCTTTTTTCTATCTTCTTGCTTCTTTCTCTCTTTTTCTTTTTAAAGATTAAGACGACTATTAGGGAAAAAAGTATTAAATAACTTTTTTTGCGCGTGTTGTTGAAGGTAAAAGAGGTTGCGAGTGGGTGTGGCGCAGTTCTCCCATGACCACACAAGGAGATGCACTTTATGGGGGGTGTGAGTGCCGTACACGCGGATTGTGTGTGTGCCATGTGGACAAAAATCTCTCCACCCCCTCGATTCCTCCCCTTACTTTCCAGAGAGAAAAAGAAATCCAGCGAATTTGTTTACATTCCCGAAATGCCAGGATATATTGGGAGGATTGCGTGTCAGTGCCCAGAGCACCAGACAGTTGTTTTGCAAGAAAAATGTTCAGGCGGACTTTTCTTTTGCGAGTCCTCTAACTTTGGCAGAAGACAGGGCGGCCCACCTCCCAGGAAGACTTGGACAAGCCTGGTTCGTCGGGGGAGGGTGGGACGAACGGCCGCCTGGCCACTCCACGGGGCTGGCGACAGGCTGCGCTCCAGGCTGGTCGGGCTGGGCGCAGGGGTCGCAGCCTGAGTGGAACTTGGTCAGGTGGGGCTCGGGGCGGAAGGGATCGCCTGGGTTCCCATCCAAGAATGTGCGTTAGAAGTTTAGTGCCCCCGCCTTCCCCTTTCTTAAAAAGTAAAAGCTGTAATTTATAGTCCTTTTCGATTCTCGGAGTGCTCGCTAAATGAACTCGACTCAACGTTCAGACTCCGCGGAAGGGGGCGGGGGAGCGCGAGGTGGAGAGGGGCGCGACCAGGGACAACAGGAGCCCCGCGACCCTCTGCGCCCCTGGTCCTGGCCCACTACAGACGGCGCCACGCGCAGCTCGGACTCAAAAGCACAAATCTGTCCCGCAGCCTAGGTCGCCCCTTTCAGCAGGGATCTTGCGGCCTCTCCGCCCTCCCCGCCCTTAAAGGGCCAGCAGGCGATCTAACTTCCAGGGCTTTTGCAGGGAGGGGAGAAAGACTCTGCTTGTGGGACAAAGCACAGACTTGGGAGGTGGGGGACTCTGGGCTGGGTTAGAGAAGCCTGGTAATGGGGGGATACTGAGAGGGACTCCAGTCTCGTCCTACGTACTCCTGGTTCCTCGTCTCCAGCGTCTCAGCCTCTCCCCTCCAGACTTTGCCTTTAAATAGAGGGAGAAAAAAAAAAAAAAAAGGAAAAACGGTGTATTCTACGTGTGTTTGTTTGTTTTTGAAAATCAATTTGCGCCTAAAAGAGAAGCCCCTGGAATGGGGATTTTTTTAATCTGCCCATATTTGTAAAACTGGTATTTTCGACTTTGTATAAAGAAGCGCCGTTGACTGTGTGTCTGTCTAGATGTCGACCCTATTTTCAGGTAAGCCTGTTTTGGAGGGCACATCTGTGACCAAGTGGACCGTAACTCTGGGACCAGAGTCCCTTACCTGACTGCCGACTTCCTCTCTCTCCTCCCGTCTTTGCTCGAACCTTCCTTCCCTCCAGCCTTCCTGGTTCTGCCCTCACTGCCCCTCGTCCTGCCATCTGTCCATGGCCGTTGTGTGTGTCTCCTTAGCTCGCTCTTGAGAGGCTGACCTGGGGGTGGGGTGGGGTGGGCAGGGGTCTGGGGCCACGTGGCTCTGAGTCTGCAACCGTAGATGGGCAGAACGCGTGTTTATGAATTCTCAGATATGTACAAATCTCGAATTGATCGCCGCCTCAGCTCAAGAGTGAAACTTCGGTACCCTATCTTCTTGGGTTGTGAATGTGTCTGTATTCAGTATCACTTTTTATGTGTTTAAAATATATACTTTGTAAATAGAGACGTGTCTTGGTTCTCATTATTTTATTATTTACTTATTTCCCAGAACAGGGTAGAGGTTGCCTGGAAAGGAAGGGCACTTGCTCCTCTCTCAATACTCACTTGGTGTCCCTACCTTCGTGCCCATACTCTAAAGTAGGGTAGATTCCCCACACCCTGAAAAGGCCCTTTCCCAACTGGGAAACTCTCAGTGGGAGGGTGAGGGGAGGTGGGTTGGGAAGGGAGTGAGGGAGCTTTCTCGGGAGGCTGTTTTCACTACTGGCTGTACTTCTTTGGGACCCAGGCAGAATTCGGGGGATCCCTGAGATGATATGGGCAGCCTCTGGGCTCATTTACTCACTCAGGTGGAGGATTCCCCCAACTCCACACCCGCTTCTATGACAGAGGTCCGTAGCGCCCGACACCCAAGAGCTTTGCAGACTCACTGCGTGTGCGTGTGACCCGAGCGTTGCTCCCGTTGCTGTCACAGGGCTCATGCCCCAGACCCCCACAGTCTCGCCAGCGCTCCCCGAAATGCAGAGCCTCCGTCTATTGATTGAGGAATTGAATTCGCGGGTATTGCTAGGCAACTGCCTGCTTGGAGCCGGCGCAGAGCGCGCTGATGTGATTAGTGAACCCGGAGGCGCGCTGGGCTCCCACCCCCAGTCCCTACGGCTTCGTAGACCCTGGTGTTCTTTCGGGTAGATACCCCAAGGTTGGATGAGAGGCTGTCTCATGAGAGGGAACATCGATGGATGGGGTGCTCTGTCCTCTAGGCTGCAGACTTCTTGGGGGGGGCGGGGTCGTGCGGCTGCAAACCCCATCCACACTCCGGATTCTGAAAGAGGACAACACAATGAACCGGGTTCTACTTCCATATTCCTGGGCAGACATCGCTGGGTTGCCCAAACCCGCAGAGCCAAGGAGAGGCCCGAAGTGGGCCGGGTCACATCTTTTGCCCTTGGCCCAGTAAGCAGTGGTTAGTTAGGTCTGAGATTGCCTCAGTGGGTCACTGAGCGTCGAGTGCCCTTAGGACACTGAGCAGTCAGATTGTCGAGTTGGGTCTCAGGCGCCAAGAGGTCCAAGGTCTAGGCCACCTTAAGGCGCTCTGAGCCGGGTAGGCTCTTTGCTGGGCCCACAGGAGGGTCTTGGCCATCAGGGGGCCAAGAAAACAGTGGGAGGGCTGGGCCTGGTGGCTTCAGCAGTCAGCCTTACAGTAGGGGCCCCCACCGTCATCACCTGAATATAGGGAGGAGATCCGCACTGGCCCTGCGGGATTTCCCGCTTCTTTGGTCACAACTTTAACTTGAGCTTAGAGCTGCCTCAGCGAATTATTTTCTGGGCAGATTCTCCCGGAGAGCAAAGACCCAGTGTGGGGACCCCTGGCCCTCCTGGCCTCCTTTGCTCAGGCGGATCTCCCTATGTCCTCATTGGCAGGACCCGCTCGGGCTCAGCCGCTGCCGGAGCTGAGCCTGGCCCAACACAAACACTGGTTGAATGGAATACTTATGGCTCTGTAAAGAGCCGTTTTTCTGACTCTTTGATGCTCACAGCGCGCAGCTCTGATGGAGGCCTGGTGCTGTATCCTGGACGCCAATGGTATGCAAGCCTGCCCCAGCTCTCTGCGGGTGCATCCACGGCTTTCCTCGTTTCACCAAAAAGTCCTCCAGGTCAGAGGCAGCTCGGATACAGCGGGAGCCTAGGGTGGGAGCCAGCGGCAGCCCGAAGGGTCATTAAAAATGGAAATTTGGCTGACAGTAGTGAGAAGCCGGCGTAGGCTGAGGTTTTCATTCTGCGGCCAGAGACTGAGTCGGCTGGAAGCTGCTTGGAGCAGCAGAGGGTATAGAGCCTGAAACTGAGTTCGGGACTGCCTAGGACTGCGGGTAGATTCCGCCCTCCTCCCCACCAGCATTCAAAATCCCGCGGACCGAACTTCGTGGGAAGCGCGCGCCCTCTACAGGCGACGGCCTCAGCGCCTGTCCCAAGTGCCACCCCTCCCCCATTTGGTTCCGTTTAGCAGCAAGGAAAAGTCTCATTTCCTCCTACCAGGCACCGCCAGGCATCATCTCTGTCTTCGAGAATCGGCCTCGACCCATGCCACCTAGAGAGGAGAAAAGTGGTGTCCGGTGGCCTAGAGCCCGGCTGCACCAATCTTACCAGGTACCCCCGATTTGGTCTTAGTGGTGCCTATTCTAAGACTGGGGTAGATTGATTAGGTGATCAAATCACCAGCCTAGAAATTAATAAAGATCAATGTAGATCAGCTCCATCCCCCAACTCTGCTCTGGAGACCCTGTCCGTGTAGACATAGGTTATCAGAGAGTCTGGCTGGCCAACCAGAACCAGCACCTGCTCCTGCCAAGGGAGCTAGCTTGTTCCTCTAGGACAGATCTGGGATCCAACCGCCCCTGTGCTTGTTCTCCAAAATGAAACAGGCACTGGAGGCAACAGAAGGGAAATTAAATTGCCAGGTGACTGCTTTGCAAGAATCAGGAATCGGGTTTCACACTTGATGGCCTTTCTCCAGCAAAGTTTGTGTTTCTGTCTGTAGTCTGTAGAGAGAACCTTAGTCCCAGCCAGCCTTTCTGCCAGGAGTGGGTCTGCAAGTCCGTTTTCCTCACACTTCAAAGAAAACTCCATTCTCTTGGGAGGCCAGAGGAAATTCTGGATGAATTCACGCCGAGGAGAGTAACTAAAGTCTTGGACTAGGGAAGGGGATGTAATAAGCACTGGGGTTAGGGGCCAGCTTCCTGGTGTCTCCCTATAGCTTGCCAACCGGCCTCCTTAGGAACGGTGCTGAGGGTGTTTGCTCCCTTTGAATGTTATCACAGCAGCCCCCTGTGCTGGCTGGAGGCCTGCAACATTCATGTTGTTAGTGGGCAAAACATACGTAACCTTTCCCATTAAACCAGGCTTTCTCAAACTAAGCTCCTTGGATGTTCTGGGAAGCTGGACTTCTGCTTGGCCACTACTGTGTGTGGCACTCTTGGTCTCTGTGAACTAGATGCTGGTTACACCCTTCACCATGGGGTGACAACTTTCTCAGGCACTCAACAAGTTTCCTCTCATTCATCACTGGTGTATTTGCTCTTAAAAAACGCATCCCTTCCTTGCCATGGTGTATTTTCTCTCCTCCTATCTCTGAGTGGCTAAGCCATTTCCATTTTCTTCCCCTCCAAGGCTACAGCTATGCGTTTTTTGTTTTTTTCATACAATGCTAGGTCCATGTCCAGATGGGCGTTTTGCTCCATGACAGGGAAAGTAAAGACTATATTGTTTATATGCATTGCTTACAATGTACACCAAGCCAAAAAGTTCACAAAAATATTTATTGATACTAAGAGTAGCAAAAAGACAAGAATTTTCCTACATCATTTACTGTCTTTCCCTGGCAAAATAAATTAACATCAGTCTAAAGTCTCTATAATCTAGGCTAGTGTCACTGGAAACTCCTGGAACTATGAGATGTATCTGGGTAAATATGACTATCAGGGCACACCCCCTCCCCCACCATGAGGGACTTCCTGGGACAGGCATTTCCTTGGTAGCTGGGCTGTTCTGCTCTAACACAGATCCTAAGTTTTCCCAGGGTCCCCTGCTCACTCCTTAGGAAAGCAAACAGCTCCCATTTAAAGGGGCACACATAATTGACTCACTATAAAGAAATCAAGCCAAAGGCTGACTCTGGCTCAAAGTTCAACATTTCCTTCCTGATGAAACCTCAGGACCAGGGCTCTCTAATCAAGGTCAGAGTTTGGAGTATACCCAAGAAGGGACACTGTTTTTGGTACCATTTTTCTTTTTTTAAATCAATACTCCCAAGGAAGAGGCTGGCCACTTTTCCTACTAGTTGCCGAAGGAGACAAAAAGCTGCCTGTAATCTTAACACTAGCAAGACTGAGGAGGGACTGTCAGAGGTTCAAGGTCAGCCTGGGCTAGAAGAGACCCTGTCTCTAAAAGACTAAAAATTAAAACATCCATTTGGCATAAAAAAAATCATGGCAGGGAACTTCTGGGACACTTAGGAAGACCATCTTGTTAGGGGTGTTACTGATGCCTAGCTACACACACACACACACACACACACACACACACACACACACCAAATAGAGAGAACTAACAGCAAAAAAAAAAAACCATAAAAAGCAACTACTTTTATTTATTGGTAAACATGAGAACTCAACTCAGAACATGTGGTGTGCCTCTCCAGTGGGTTCTCATGTGGGCACGCTACACACATACGCTTTGTTACACAGACCACTGGGGTCACAGCACCAGGAAAAACACACAAGGCAAAGTGGCTGGGAGGAAGGTACTTGTAGATTTCAACTTTGGGACTGAAATAACTGGTAAAAATAAAAGGCACCAAATTGGGGTTTGGAGACCTGGCAGCAGGGAACAGTCCAACCTAGCTCCCCAAACATGGTCAGGTCTCCAATAGCTCATGGGACCCCCAAAGACATGGAGGTGCCTGTAAGGCAGTGTCTGGCACAAAAGAAGCTTTAAACCTTGGGTGAGGCAGCAAAGGACCCTGGCTGAGAACAGGAAGGGAGGCTAATGGCCCAGTAGGCAACTCTTCCCCCTTGCTACCCTCTTCCTGGATTCTCCAATGGCACGGCCCCTGGTGCTGGACGAGAGGCTACACATCACCATAGACCTCTTTCAGGAGCCATGGGTATGGATCTGTCCCAAAAGGCACAGTGCTGAGGTCGGTTTGGTTACACAAAGACCATCTCCTATTTGGTGTGCAGGGTGAGCTACTGTGTGTGTGTGGGGGGCTCTTTGAAAGTGTGGCAGGTCCCAGACACCACAGTCCACTCGCTGTTGGGTGGTTTAGGAAGGGGACTCTTCCGTTCAAAGGCAACGGGAATAAAGAGCCCATCCTGCCAGCTAACCAGTCAATGGCAGAAGTAGAAACAAGGGTTTCATACCACACCCACTTTTTTGGCATCACAGACTCTGACCAGATTGTCATGGCCCCAAGGTGATAATCCAGGACAGGAATCCTGATCTTGGCCAGCAATCTGACAAGGTAGTTTTAAGATAGCTACCTGGGACGGGGGACAGGGAGAAGGCATCTAGAAAGGGGCTCAGAATTGGGATTATCTCCTGAGGATGGGGGAGGAATTAGGACCCTCTGCCAGGTGGGCTGCCAAACGGTCCCACCACACAAATGGCACAGGGATATTGCTTCTCAGGAAGGGGACACAGGCTCCCAAACATGGGAGAGGATTGTCAGGGAAATGGTTCTCAGGAACGGCCCACTCAAATAGGCAGGGCTCTGCACCAGAATCCACTACAGAAAATGCTTGCATGACAGTCTAGAGACACCCAGGCTAGACAGGCAGCAGGGGGCAGGCCTGCAGGAAGCACCTGCTCTCCTGCTCTGGAGCTACTAGGGGGACTGACTCATTCAGCCTCAGTAATCAAACTCCAACTAGTAGGGAAGGTTGCCTGCCCAGCTCTCCAAACTCACACTTCAGCTCTCTGGGTTTCAGCCCTCGGAACTAGGGCGCACTCTAGTGGGCCTAAGCAGGGGTGCAGGATCCAGAGCAGAACAGGGTTACTTCTCACTGGGGCTTGGGCCTGCTTGCAGGAAGGTGGCAGTAACATCAGACTCTTCTGTTCCCAAACCCAGTAGCACTGAGGTACATCTGACTGCCGGGATGAGACCCTCCAAACCCTGCTTGGACTTTGGGGCCACAGTTGTGGCCAGAGATGATACAGCACCAGGGACAGACACTCCGAAGAGTTACACAGGGTTCTGCAGGGTCCCTGAACCCAACTTCACAATGAATTATCCTTTTACAATGAGGCCACAGCCTCACTTGCCAAGGACAGAACCCCCTCTTCACCACAAAGGCCCTGTCATTGTTGGGCTTGGGAGGTCTGGCCTGGCTGTCTCTCTCCCTACAGGGTTGGGGAGGAAGCTGTATCAGATGCCCCACCCCAGACTAGCCTGACAGTAGTTGGGCAAGTCGGTAGGGGAGACTCTCCTAATAAGGTAGGGGAGAGTCTCAGTAGGCCAAGGAGGGACATGTACTGAAGAGGGTTTGTTCAAGCAGGCAGAGGCCAACCAGATTTCCTGAGGCGACAGGACAGAGTAGAGTGGAGGCCCAGAGAGGTAGAAGTCACCAGAGAAGCCAGTTCCCAGCCCCAAGTCTCAAGACAGGGCAGAGCTGGTCCCCGGGTCAGGCATCAAAGCAAAACCAGAGACTGAAAGGCAGGTCACACCCGGGCAATGGCCTCAGTAATGCCTCAGGTTGAAGAATCCCACGCTGGTGGGGGATTCCTTCACTGTGACAGTGATGAGGTTGGCTGTGACGTCTGTAACAAATACATGTTCTATGAGACTGCGGGTAGGCTTCCAGTCCTGATTGGTCTGGACAGATACCGACAGATTCTGGCCAGCACTGGGGAGTGAGGACGAGTCAGGGTCCGTGTCAGAACTGCTGTTCTCCTCTCCCGTGCTCATCTCAGACAGCGCAGGTGCCTTGCGGCCTTCTCCTGGGACCGTGTGACCCTCTTGTCCACTGGAGGCAGCCATGCACTTAACACTGTCCCTCTTGACAGAAGGGGTGGGCAGAGCTGTGGCCTTGGAGGCCATTTTTTCGCCTTTGCTGGTGTCTGTGGGTGTGCTGGTCATATTTATTCCTGTGGGGCTGCCCCCAGGACCTTTCCCTGTGGCTGGGTTGGTGGCTGGAATGGCCTTGGTGGCTGTGGCATGGCGGGAGAGCAGGCCCATACCAGGCATGCCGTTCTTGACGCTCTGTAAGTCCAGGACCTGAAGGCTCAATTCCTGAGTCGGGGCCAGCTGGGAACCTGGGCCCCCTGAGCTGCTGCCTTTCTGCTGCTCTGCAGCTGCACCACCAGGGGCCTTCAGGGCCTTGCTTCCCGGAGGACTCACCCCTAGGTCCCCCTTCTGTGTCCTCACTTTCAGGTCCAGCCCGAGGCTGCACTTGTTGGCAGCCTGGGCCTTGAGTGCCAGTCGGCTGGCAGTCTGGGCCTGACTCTGGCTCATGCGGTTCATGTAGTGTACAATGGAGCTCTGCCAGCTGATGCCACCACGGTTGGGGCTCCCGGCCATGCCTTTCATCAGACTGGCCAGGTTCTCTGGGGTCGCCATGGCGCTGGAGCCACTGCAGGCCTCTTTGGTGTGGGCTTTCAGGGCTGCCAGGCCTGCCACAGGAGCACTGAGTGGAGGGGGCAGCTTGCTGGCTGAGGTCCCCAGGTCCTTCCTGGTGGTCTTCAGCACCTTGGCCAGGCTTACAGGTCTCCGAGCTGCCTTCTGTTCTGGGGGCAGGGGCTTGCGTCCCCGTTTCTTGCGGATGGGGTCTTTCAGTTCAGGCTTGGCCACCAGGATCTGGGCTTTCTTCTGAGGCACTGGATGGGTTTCACGGCCCCGGGGGCCCCTCTTGGAGTCCAGGTCACTGTCATCCTCTTCTTCATCTGAGGAGGAGGAGGAAGAGGAGGAGGAGGAGGAGGAACTGCTGGATTTGGACTTGGAGGGAGCATCTGGTTCCTGGAAAGACAAATGGGTGGGACTCAAATCTCCGTCCGAGCAGCACCAGGGTCCTCCAGGTCCCAGCAGCCAGGGAGGAGTGGACATGTTTGTCCAAGGAGGTGAAGCCTGCTCAGCGGTATGCGCAATTAGAGGCAAACAGTTGTGCACCTCTCGTCATCCCTAGAGCTACGACCTAACATGGCCAGAGGACCTAGAATCTCCCATGATAGCTTTATGGAGATGGCGCCAATGTCCTTCCAGCGTTGACAGGGACTGATCCCAACAAACCCTGGGGCCCTAGGTTTCCCCAGCAGCACCCCTCCCCCACCCAGCTTCAGCAACCGGCAGAAATTCCTTCTCAGTCAGCAGGACCCCTCTGGCTGACATCTTCTTGCCAGGAGGGAAGAAAAGTAGTACCAGGGTAGACCCACACTTTTGCTTTGGCCACAGGTCTAGGGAGTGAAGTCCAGGTAACAAACAGAGGCACGCCCGAGCCTAAGGACAGAGCCCCCTTACCTTAACCCTAACCCTGAACTGTCAGGGGTGGGGAAGGGCAAAGTGGGAAGATGCCAAGGCCCCCTGGTATGTGGAAGCAAGGAGGGCCAACAGGACATCTTGAGAAGGGGTTCACACTGCATCCCTGCTTCTGCCCCTATTTTCTGACTCGCCTGTCAGCTTGCACAGCCCGGTATCCTGGACTTGCCCAGCTTGTCCATAACTCCTACACAAACCCCAGCACGTATGGCACACTGGCTTCCCTGATGGAGAGCCTCCAAGTGAGAGTGTTGGGCACAGCTACCAACTCTGCTGCTGCTACCCTGGAGGAAAGAGTGCAGGCTGAACTTGGTAAGACAGAATGGGAGACATATACACCGTGCTGCCGGCTGGTGCCATCCACCCACACATGCCTGAAAAGGCGGCAGGAAAGAGAACTACCTACCTCAACAGCCCCCTTGAAGAACTTCTGCCCAGAGCAGCATGAATCGGTAAGGAGCCAAAGTGGAACAGCGCAGGCAAAGCCTGTGGCCACTCACCTTGAGCTTAGAGCGCCGGCTGCAGGAAGACATGACGGTGTGCTTCCTTGGCCTGCCCCTGGGCCTCTTGCCTCTCTTCCGGTTCTGAACCTCCTTCTCATGTTCCCTGGAGACACAGCACCAATCAGCTTTGAGAAGCCCTGCTTGCAAACCCTTCTCTGGCTTCAGTGTCCACCTTCAGCTCCCAAGAGATTCCCACTGCTTTAGAGCAGCCTATCATCAGTCCTAATGACGGGCAGGGGTCCAGTCACCAGCTCAGGGGTGCTGGCCCACACTATCTTTGCAGCCAATCCCTTTCACTTTCATTTGGCTGAAATGGAGCTGAAATCAGAACAAATCTGGGGATCTCCCCACTTTCCACTAAGAAAACTTTCTGTAGGTGAAGCCTCCACGGAGGCCCCAGCACTCATACCCAGAAGCAGCCTTTAGGGCTATATGCTCTAATCTGTTCATTCCCACAAAGACTGCCTTCCAGTATGTACCAAGCACAGGAAACCCTAGTATGACCCGCTGGCCCTGGGGCCGAGGACACCAGTGTGGCTTATGCTTGCCAGGGTTCTTGTTGCCAACTTGCTGATTTACATCACCCCGGTCCCTGTATCCCTCAAATACCTCCAGAATTCTGCTCCTAATGGGAGGAAAGGAAGTTATCAAGCTCCTAGCAGCCTGGCCTCGGAGGCTGCACCCCTGAAACCCAGGGCTAAAGCTGTGAAGTCAAGAGCACCAAGGCAGTTTCTCACAGAGGCTCGGATTTCAGGAGACCCCACTGTGTATATCTGGAGAAGACTCCTGGTGTCAAAGACCCCCTGTGAGATGGCTTGGCAGGCTAAGGGGCATGCTGCTAAGACAAACAACCTGAATTTGATCAAATAGACAACAGGGGGCTGGAGAGATGGCTCAGCAGTTAAGAGCACTGATTGCTCTTCCAGAGGACCTGGGTTCAATTCCCAGCACCCTCGTGACAGTTACAACTGTCTGTAACTCCAGCTCCAGGGGATCTGACATCCTCACACAGACACACATGCAGGCAAAAGACTGATGCACATAAAGTAAGAATAAATAAACTATTTTTAAAAATGTTCAAAAAATTGAGAACTCAGGCTTGTGGCACATGCAGGCCTCTCCTCCAAGCAAACACACAAATGCAAAATAATATAGCCAAGCACCATCTCCTTGGAGCCTGGAAAGGGATAGCATAAAGAAATGGATTAGACCTCCAGGAAAACCTCGAGGCTAGAACAGCTTTGGTCCCCAACTCTATACCTCATGTTCAAGGAGGCCATCTATCTCATCACTTATCCTGTGTTGTGACTCTGACCTCCCTGGCCAACGAGTTAACCCCAGCTCCCAATGTGCAGAGGGATGTGTCTGGATGCAGGGAAAATGCAGAGCATGTACCATCCTGATTTTTTTGTCCGGTGCTAAAAACAGACTATTCTGTTTTCCTCTGGATATTCTGGCTCTTGATGGAGCTAACCAAAAGCCATGTCAAAGACACGCTGCCTTTCACTGGATGTCCCCATCTCAGGATGATGCCTGAGAAACAGGGTCTTGTTCACTGGGCAAGCTGGTTCCCACCTGCTCCAATGCTGCCCCCACCTCAGCTTCTCTAGCAGCAGGGGCTGCAGGTGTGTATGGTAACACTTGGCCCAAGGATGCTGCCTCCAATGTAGAGAAACATACCAGCCCCTAGAAAGTTCCAAGCCATCCCTTCTGGGCTTAGAGGACCAAGATATGAATTTAATAGAAGGCATGGCATTGCCATCTATTTCCAAAGGAATCCCTCAGCAAGCATAAGCACTCCCGTACCCTGCCAAAACCCATCCCCTCCCCACCCCTTCTGCAAAATGTCCGTTACAGTGAGAAACACAGGCTGGGCTCCTAGAGAACAAGCTGGCTAGATTGACCCCAGGTGGGGAGGCTTTTGAGCAAACCATTCATCTGCCTGTATTGACAGAGCGAGCTTCTGTAGGGGGAAGGTGTCTGTCTGTACTGCCACCACATGGTGCTGCATCCTTGGACCTCTGCACTGGGAGGATGGTGACCCTCACACCCCTGTAACACACGGTTCCTGACACCATCTCACACAATCCTGTCTTCATGAACACCTCCCATCTAAAAGCAGAAGTGTCAACTATAATTACAAAAGCAGGTCCAAGAGGCCTGGCAACCTCAGCAACGTTACATCACACACATCTCTCTGCACTGTGGGTTTCAGGCCCCTCTGGGCCCACCCTGCCTCTCCCGGGCAGAGGCACAAGCCTAATTTTTACAGCAAGCTTGCAACCCCTATCGCTATTAGTGCTAACTGAACGTTACTTCACAGAACAGGCCAAGGAGAGAAACTAGAATCTTTGCACAAAGGTTCATTTTGGAGGTCTGGCTGTTTGGTGTGTGTGTGTGGGAGCTCAAAGTGCTCTGCCCCTGTAGCCACCCAAGGAAGCCTGGGAACAGGTTCCTGGTGGGGCCTCACACCACAGCCCCAGGCCACTGTGTCACCAGCCAATTCCGCCCAACTCTCCCCTCCTCCAGAGTGCTGTAAATGTTCTCACTTCTTCTGGAAGGCTAGGAGCAGCCTTGGGTCCAAGATGTTCTCTTCTGGCTCCCAGCTGTTGTGTCTGGAAAAGCAAAGAGCAGGGCTTGTAAGCAGCATCCAACTGGGCTGCCAAGGCAGCTCCCAGAGGCAGCTCCCACCGTCCTGATGGGGGCAAGGGACACTGTGCCGAGGCAGTCCTCTGAGGTCCCAGAAGCCCTTGAAGTAAGTTAGCATCATGGCCTCAAACCCATAGGCAAACTGCCATCTCAAGCCCCAAGTCCCAGCAGGCCACAAGGGGACTCAACAGTCTGTGCCTGGGAAGAAAACAAATCCCAACAAAGAGCAAAGCTGCTGAGGGAATCCCCAGAGCCTGGCCCTGAGCCAGGGAGGGAAGGGAAGACAGGTAGGGGAGGGGGAGCTGGGGAAGCAGACAGAACAATGTGGCGGGCACCACGGAGAGCGCGGGCAGAGCAACGGAGTTTGAGGGGGGCATCCGGAGGGATGGGGTCCAGGAAGGAAGGTTGCAGGGCAGCTACAGAAGAAGCCCCTTCTAGGGAACGCCGGGTCCCTTCCCCTCATTAGGAAGAAAGCAAGCAAGCAAGCAAGCGCGCGCGCGGGGGGCATGGGGGTGGCGAGAAGGGGCTCCTACCAGTAGGAAGCTCAGGTTACAGCGGGGTAACTTGGGCAAGGGGAGGGGGCTGTGTCCCGCGCCTGCCACGGCCGGCTCCAGGGCGGGGGCGCATGCAACAAATGGGCGCCAGAAGCGCGCCGCGCGGAGGAGGGCCAGGCCCAAGGGACTCGGAGCTGGAGGCCTCCCTGCCCGCTCCCCGTGGGCTCGTAAACAAAGGGC